GTTCATATATACAATGGAATATTACTCAGCCATTAAATAAATGAAATCCTACCATTTGCAATGACATGGATGGACCTAGAGGTTATTATGCTGAGTGAAATAAGTCAGACAGAGAAAGATAAATATCAGATGATTTCATTGACATACAGAATCTAAGAAACAAAAAGAACAAACTCATCAAAAACAGACTCACGAATACAGTGGACAATGTGGTGCCGGACGCGGGGGGCGGGGTGTCGGGGAGTTGGAAGAATGGGGTGAAAGGTTAAAGAAGAACAAATTAGTAGCTAATGGATGGTCATGAGGATGGGGAGCACGGCAGAGGGAATGCGGTCAGCATTAATATGATGCTAGGTGGAGGGCCAGGGGAGGGAGGGAGCAACTGGGGGGATCGTTTTATGAACTATGTAGATGTCTAGTCAATGTACCGTATACTTGAAACTAATTTAAATAAATAAATTTTTAAAAAAATAGCCACCCAAAGAAGGGAAGGGTCTGTGTACGTAACAAAAACGGTCGCAGGCAAAGATCACAGCCAATTCCATCCCCTGCTCCGGATCGACAGAGTGCGTTTTCAAACGAGTCTAAAGCAAACATTCCTTTCTGAATGTACTATGGCCCATGAGTGTAGAAGACAGGGGGGCCTCGCAGGGTGCAGGGGGAGGCTGGTGTGCACGCCGGGGTGGATAGAGAGGACACCACGTGCATAAAACCCAAAGATGTCCTTGTGCTCGTGCATTAAACATTATCAGCCATCCAGTTATCGGACTTAATTATGGATATAAATCTAGCTTTGTCTTGTCTTAGAGGTGTTTTTCTTGTATTTCTCTTTTTTAACTTTCGGTTGTAGAGTTTTATCGGCAAGCCTGAGAGTCGGCTCTCAGGGTGATATGTGCTTTCAAGCAAACAACTCCCAGCCTTAGCAAGTGGAGAGCGAGTTTATGTGAGTCAATAAAAACAGCCTTGGCCCCACGCCAGCCGCTGTCCGCAATCAGACTCCCGTTCATCTCACCCCTGAGAAGGGCAGTAACCATAACCTTGCTTTCCACAAGTCTTAAAACGCTCTTTATCATCTGCTTCCTCTACGGACTATTTTATTTCATTAAGGAGTGAGATTTCTGTTTGTTTCATCAGTTGACTCTTTCTTATAGGTACTACTTAATAATATCCTTTCCTTTAAATGAAAGACTGCTGAAATGTAACACCTTACAGAGCCCTTCTTAATTCTCGTGTGTGTGTGTGTGTGTGTGTGTGTGAGCGTGTGTGCGTGCACGAGCACGCATGCATCAGCTGGCCCGCGCTGAAGACTTGGATTTCCAGTCTCTGTAATCACACGAGCCAGTTCCTTAGAAGGAATTTCTTTCTCTGCACCTGCACGTCTTCTTGGTTCTGTTTCTCCGGAGAACCCCACATATTACGAAGACCAGAAATACAACAGATGCACCAATGCACACTCCTGCAGTGGATAAGTGTTACGATCCACGAAATACTCTTCCCCTCCTGTAAGGCTGCAACTAATTCAATCTTCTAGGTAGTTTAAAAAACAAAAAACAAACAAGCAAACAAAAAAACGGGTTTACTAGGTGTCTCCCTCGGAAGGCCGCCGGGTGACCTCGCGGTGTACATCGCAGGGCGAGGCTCAGACTCCCTCGGCACGGGTCACAGGGCTGTCCTCACGCCCCAGCCTCCTCGGTGCCGCGCCGCTGTGCCAGACGCCTTCCGCTTCACTTCCTCAAAACAGCTTCTACTGTATAAAATCTTACCGGGGACCCCGACTTCGCACATGCTGAGCCTGTTCGCCGGTCTGGCCAGGGAGAGCTTCCCAGCCTCGCAGTTTCTTCCTCACTTCGAGGCCACCTCTCAGGCCACCTCTAGCGACAGCGAAGGGCCTCAGAGCCCAGGACGAGAACCGCATTCCACTGACGCTCTGTGCTCCAAACGAGTCCATTCTCCGCCCCCCGCGTGAGTTGTAAACTCTACTGTGCCCTTCCGCATGCCATCAGCGTCCCCCGAGATGTCCTTTTCTCTGCATTTTCTCTGCTCCCCTCACCCCAGCTTGTCTTAAAAATTTTCTTCCCCGTCTTCAAGGTCCAGGATGGCTCGTCCCTCTCTGAGCCGCCTTGATTCACTCAAGCTCCCCTTCACATCATTTCTGGCACTTTCGGGAGCATCACGTGGTTCCCTCTTGGTTCTGAGACTTGGCCCCTGGGCAACCTTGAGTGAGTGAATGACCCTGAATCTTCACCTGTATAATAGGAACACGTGACCTGCCCTGTAGCGTTCATAAGTATTAAATGAGATGACATTCGTTTGCTTCATACACAGTAGGTACCCAATAAAGCTTAGGTACTGGAGTATCTTGGAGTGGGCCACCCATTTTGGGGGACATTTCCATAAACATAACTACATTTTCTTTAACTGACTAGTAAGGCCAGAGACACATGGGGTACAGCAATTGTCTGCATGACCCTGCTTCTACCACAGATTCTGCCATGAAAGGCATGCTCTGACATGTCACCTCCCATGAAGCAGCAAAGTAAATGCGGCCATTCTTACCCTTAAATTCTCTAAATCAGGGACTAATTAAGAAATGCCTGTGCTGAAGTTCACACGCATTCTAACCTAATTTTGCATAACTGATACCATTTATCCGGAATAAGGCATCCTCAACTCTGGGCCGAAAGTTTGAGAGGGAAGGGGGCAGAAAGGACACGGACTCTGCAGACTGATTTCTCCTCCTCTGAGGGCCCCGGGGGCTCCTTTGTCCTCCCAAGACGTCACCTCGCATCTTCTTGTTGGGACACACAGGGATTTTGAGAATTTGGACAGGTTACTAAATCTCACTACACTGCAGTGTCTTTACCTGTAAAATCAAGGTATGTCCATGTCCAAGTGCTCAGTGGGGATTAAATGGGAAAAGCTACGTAAGATACTGACCGAGCTCCTCCCACATCATAAGCTATCAGCGAAGAAGAGAAATCGGTACATCGAGACAGCATGCAGCTCAGTTCCTTCATCCCCCCGAACTTCTAAAAATTTAGTCTACAGGTTAGGATTTCTGGACCCAAAGTCCACTCTTTTATCATTGAATAGACGGTCGCCCCCCCCCCCTTATGTTACACGCACACGTGATGTTCATGGATTCGATATGTTGCTAATAAAGCACACAAAGAAAACTTTTAAGTATATTTAAGGTTGATTTTTAAATACAGCTACTATATTTTTTAATTCACTATCATCCTTAGTTTTAAAAAAAATGCAGCCTTCTATGTCTCAAAAGTGAGTGAAACACCGTCACTGGCCTGTAGTAAAATGATGACTACGGACAAGCTAACCAGCATGCCTTCTCACAGAGGGGTGTGTGTGTGTGTGTGTGTGATGAGACCTGAAATCTGCTCTTTTTGCAAAAATCCAGCATTCGATACAGTATTATTGCTACACTCACCACGCTGTACTTCAGGTGTCTAGACGGCGTCATCCTACGTAGCTGGGGCTTTGTACCCTCTGACCAACAGCTCCCCATCTCCCCACCCATCGCCCCGGCAACCACTGCGGTGCTGTTTTTTTCAATTGGTCGTGCTTTGGCAGAAACTGGACAACCTGACCTGGGACCCGCACTGCCCGGGTCGGCCACATCAGGCAGGAAAGAAGCCCACCTTGCTCTGGCCACGGGCACAGCTTCACGTGAAGAAGGCACACTCTAAGACTTCGCCGAATTCCCTCCTTCGCTTGCATGGCTGATCAAAAACAGACCAGACACTAAAAACTCGCAAATGCCATTTAACACAACGGCAAGTAAGGATTCGAGTGGCAAAACGGAGTCCTCAATAAATAAGTATTTAACGAAAGAGATTTTGCTAATTGACACTCCATAAGCTCCACCCACATACGCACAATGACTCCTGAGCTTAGCTATGCCTGAAACGAAAGGAAAAACCGACCCATTGAAATTTTTCTTGCCTTCTGACCATCGCTATTGCTTATACCACACTGTGAAATATTCTTGTATAAAACGGATCCCTTAAAAAGAAAGCGTTATATCAGATACCACATAAAGTACTGTGCTGGATGCCCATCTGGGATGTAATGTGAGAGATGCCAGACAAGAAGCACGGTCTCAAATTACTTCCTGCCCGACACCGTTGCCAATGCCTAAAAGATTCATCACTAGTCATTTTGCATCAAAAGCACAGGAAATAATAGTAAGGAGAATAACACCTACTATTCCTTGACTACCACGGGCTAAGTTCTTTAAATGCACGATCCTTAAACCATTCAACAAAGAGAATGGTACTATCAACTCAGTTTGCCATTAGGAACCTGAGATTTGGAGACAATGAGTAGGTAACACAAGGTTCTATAGAAGGTAAAGGCTATTAAGATCCGAGTTTTTCTGCTCTTCCAGACGCAATCCCCTGGGAGGACCGACACACGAAGCACCAAACCACGCCGAGAACACACTCCGAGGGGTCTGTGGATTCTTCCAGAAACGACAGCTCACACTTTCAGAATCCTCTCTAGTGAAATGGGGAAGAAGCAGAAGATGGAGCCGGTGCTTGACCCCTGCCCGGGATTCAGTGCTGGGGAGAGGACCGTGAACACGCGGGGGCTGAAGCCCCACTGTGTGCCAAGGGAGAGGAAACGGCCCCACAGCTGGATCGAGAAGCCCTAAGAGGAAATGTTCGGGCGCCTGAGCGCAGACGCTGCCAACATCGGTTTCATCTAGGGCGGAGTTTTCATTAAGACAACGTAAGACCCGTGCTTTCTCCCACTGCGTTCAAATTTGTGAGGCATTTCTTCCACTTAGAAATGCTAGCACATGGAAAAAAAAACACAAAACGAATTCAAAGTATTATTTCTCTGAAACGCTATTCATGGAATCTAGGAATGGAATTGGAAAACATCACAAAAACGTAACGAAGCGTTTCGTAGCTTCTACTTGAGCTTTACAGAATCGAATGTTGTAGATGGGTAAAAAGGTACAGAAAATCTGTACTTACCTGATGGAACCACTTGCACCGTCTTTTCCCAAGATCCCTGTGGGAAAGTCTCGAGAATGCAGGAGTAGAAGCCAACATCAGCTTCAGAGGCATTATGAAAGGACAGCGTCATGTCATTGAGGGCCATGCTTGAATTTAAAAAGTAAACCCTCTCAGCATAGGGTGTCCTTATGACCATGCCATAAGTAGGGTTGAAAATGGCTATGGACTCTCTCTCGGTCGCGCTGATCTTGAACCACTCCACCTGGGTGAAGGTGCCCACTAATGGGTACACGCATTCTAGAGTCGTATTCTCGGCAAGTTTCACAGTTGTGTCCCAAAATATCTCTGCACACAGAGCTGAAATATACATACATCATAGTAGTTCGATTAGACGTTACGATGGAAATACCAACAGATCTCTTAAGCTGATTCTAAGTTTTCTAACACCTAGCCGGAGAGTAAAGTGAGATCATGGTAAAGGTTAACAGTTTCTACCTTCGCCTAAAAAGGTTTCTCCTGCTGGTGACTGGCATTGGCGACTTCCAGTTTTTTCTGAACAAGTGAAAACTGATCTAAGCCGACTGAAGTGCATTATAAATTCTGAACATGTCACACTATAAGACCAAAAAACAGGAGTAAATTTTTTAAATGAAGACATTATCTTTACCTTTGTATACATGAAGAATAGCCAGAAGGAAAATAAGATAATCCATTTCTGGAAAGCACCTTGGAGGCTGGTCGATAAAAAAGACAATTCTTCTAACGTCCCGCTCAGAGGCCCAGCACGGCGCAGGGCCTCCTTCCTCCCAGATGTTATCAGCGGTACCTTCGTTTTCTGAAGTGCAAACACAGGAAAAAGGTCTTAGTTTCAAAGTCAGCTTCGCTCTCTTGTAGGAGGATGTGCAGATCTGCAAAACTTCTCTCTCGGGGAAATAGTCAGCTTACTTTCAAGCTTTCTTTTTCTACAAAGATTCATTCATTGAACACACAGTCGCTGAGTGCGTTCTCTGTGCCAAGCTCTAGGCAATGAGGATGCAACGATACATTAAAAAAAAAAAAAAAATTCTTGCCATCGTGAAACTTACATTCTAGTGGGAGGAGACAAAAAGTCAAACAAAGAAGTGAAAAGTCTGGTAAGTTCCGTGGATGCAGGGGGTGAGGGAGTGAGGAAGCACAGCAGGAAAGCAGGGATGGGGAGCGGGCGTAGTGCTTTCCTTCTGATAGGAAGGGCCCAGGAAGTCTTCGCTGAGACACTCAGATAGGAGCGGAGACTGAGGGGTGGGGAGGAGCCTGTGGCCCTGGTGGTTTGGAGGCGCCACCGATGAGGACAGCACCCCCAGGCACGGCCTTCCTTTGCTGACTTCAGGCGCTGGCTTTGGGTGATGAAGTGACCACTGAAGGCCCTCCAGAAACAAAAGTGTCATGGCTATGGGCATATACGAATTGACCATTATGGTTGATTTTCTTTTTTTTTAATTTTTTATTTTGAAATAATTATAGAGTCACAGAAATTTGCAAAGATAGAACAGAGAGGTCCCATGTACCCTCCATCCGGTGTCCCCTTGATGGTTGCATTTTATATAATTATAGTATAAGATCAAAACGTGATTGATTTCTTAGGTTCATCATTGCTTTCTCCCATCTCCTGTAAAGTAACAGTTCAATTTCTTTTTTCTTTTTTTTTTATTTTAACACCTACAGCACCTGGTCTTCCTACATGGTCTCCCATCCAAGTACTAACCAGGCCCGACCCTGCTGAGCTTCCGAGATCAGACGAGATCGGACACGCTTACGTTGACATGGCTGTAGATGACAGTTCAGTTTCTTAAGCACTTGTTAGGAACATTATAGAAGTACAGCATCGCCTCTGTAACGAGAGGAATCGTACAGAAGCATTTGGCCCCGAGGAGACTGTCAACATAAAAGGGAGGTAAAATTTGGACACGAAGAGGGCAGAAACTGCTAAAGACAGTCTTGCTGGCTCCGAACCGCCTACGCCATTCCGCCCAAAACAGCACCAGGAAGTGTTCGCTACTTACCTTCAGCATCTGCTGTGGAAACTTTTTCAGGAAACATGAAATCAGGTATAAAATCAATAACGCACTGATAATCAGAACAAAATTATATTGCGTGCACGTAATAATGCATGGTGCCACCTTCTGTTTGCGTAGCATTCTACGTTCCCAAACCTTTCACGTCTGGGATATCATTTGCACCTAGAATAGCTTGGCGATGGTCTCGCGTTATCTCTGTTTTGTAAGGAATTCAATGACGCGATATGCTGAAACCTTTCCTGAGTCGTGGCCAGTGCCTTGCTTAGGGCCGGGAGATGTAAGCATGAGAAAGACACAGTTTCTGTCCTCGATTTGTGCATAGTGTACTGGGTCAGACAGATTAAAGAAGCGATGTATTAAAATAAAACTTGATAATGCCCATACGAGTCATTCGATCGAGTTTTATGACATTCCAGAGAGAGAACAATTCATTCTAATAGATTTGGGAAAGGTTTTTCGCGGCTCAAGTACGCCAGGCCCTGGGGCTGCCAACCTGAATGAGACTTTCCAACCAGAAAAGTGGGAGACGGAGATAAAGGGGTGACGACATGGGACTCTACCAGGAAATGATGTGACTACAGTCTAAGGCATGGGGAAGGGACAGAAACGAAGTTGGGTCTGCACCGACAGTGTCTTGAGTGACATACGTCAAGGAGTTCCAGCCTGGCCATCAGCTACCATGGCATCTGGCTTCTATCTGTAACTCAGCACCGCACACGGTTCCTGGGACATGTTGCTATGGCATAAATGGAACTTTTTCAAAGTTGTATCTGGGGCAATCGAGGGGTTGGAGATGGGGATGGAAAGTCACAGATTAGACCCCGCGGAGAGATGGGATGAGATCGTGTTTGCCCTTGCAGAATTTCTGACATGATTCCACGAGCCAGTGGAACTCATGGAGGCTTCGGTGCCGGACGGACATGATCTGATTTAATTCTTAGAAAGATAACCGAACATCAACAGCCATGTCGACTTCCTCGCTCCTAACGGAATCATGACTTTGGGTGTCCACTCCCTCTCCCATACACAGGAATACGATGACGAATCTAAGCCCCTCCACTGATAACTATGATTAATTTTGGGGTGTGGGTGGTAAAGCCAACCGTGAACTGGGTTGACCCGATCCAAGCAAAGAAAATTATTTACAGTTATGTCAAAGACAGGTCTCCTTCCTCTCTCCACCCCGCCCCCGGAATCTTACTGTATTTGAACAAGAAAAGATGCTGCTCCAATTATCACAGGCAGCCATCTCCAAAGACATCGGCCTGAGGATAATGACGATGGCAGAGAGGCGGGATTAAACTTTCAAACTTGCGTCTCGGAGGGCATCCTTGAGCCACTGAATGCGCAACTCTAGAGTCTGAGTACATCGTGCGAGGTTATAAATTTTCGGATTTTAGAAGCCGGTTAGAAAAACCAGCTTTTGTTTCCTGCATCCATATGCACCTAACCTAGTACAACTGCTCCGGCTGCTGCATGGATCCCGGATTGGGAAGAAGCAAAAAGGGATATCAAACTTAGGACACTGTTGCCACAACCCGTTCAAGACAGGCCGGCAGCTTGGACCAGGATGCTGCCCATGGACATGCAGAGAGAGGGCTGCCAAGACACCACCTGTTACCGCAGGGAGATACTACAATGCTAAGCGTCCTTGACCCCGTGCATCCCAGTCAGAGTCCGGTTAGGAAAACAGAGCCCGTGCCCACTGGCTCGACAGAGAGTATTTCATCAGGAAAACTGCTAGCAGAGGTCACGGGAGAGTGGAAAAGCCAACCGGGGTTGGAGACACCATGCGGACAGGGGCACACGAAAGAATCCACGTCGCCCTCATGCTGAGGGGACCTAGGAGGAGCCAGGGCCGTGCACGGTGGCCACGGCGTGACTGAAGCTGGACCAGTGAGGAAATAGAGCCCGTCCAGCGATGTCAGGAAAGGGCGAGGGAGGCTCCAGCAGAAAGAAAAGGCAAGTGACCGGTGAGAACACTGATGCTCGACAGACGCGAATTAGGGCGCGCAGAGGCGTCTCCGCGAGCCTCGCGCTGGCACCTGCTCCGCGGCGGAAGTTTTTCTCTCTGAGCTGCGAGCGAGACGCGGACGCCGCTCGCCACCGACGTTCGCGCTGGGCAGGAAGCGGGGGCCACAGCGACTCAGCGAGAGAAAGGAAATCAGAGGCTTCCGAAGTGCGAGGGGAAAATCGGTCTGCGGGTCTGACGCCCCTCTGACCAAAGCTGCGGAAGCGGGGAAAAGCCGATCCTCGAATTCATACGGAATTGAAAGGGGCCTTGGAAAAGAAAGAAGTGACGCTCCGAGTCACGACTTTATGATCACAGCTAGAAAGAAATGTCGCCGGACCTCCAGGATATAAAAAATCGTTACGTGCTTATTAAACACATGCCGAAACGTGTGTGTACATATCCGTATATGTGTACATATAGATAGCGCATGCGCATGTGCGTGTGTGCTTGCGTGTGCTTGCGTGCGTGCGTGTGCGTGCGTGTGCGTATGTGTGCGTGTGTGCGTGTGTGTGCATGCGTGTGCGTGCGTTGACTTTATGATCACAGCTAGAAACAAGTGTCGCCAGACCTCCAGGATATAAAAAAATCGTTACGTGCTTATTAGACAAATGCCGAAACATGTGTGTCCATATCCGTATATACGTACATATAGATAGCACGCGCACATGTGCGTGTGTGCGTGTGTGCGTGCGTGCGTGTGCGTGTGCGTGCGTGTGTGTGTGCGCACGTGAACACATGCATTTTCCCAGGGCCTGCGGTCCTCAGATCCTCAGCAGGCTCACAGCCTCAGAAGGGTCGAGAACAGAGCAGCAATGCTCAAGTGCCACGTGGGGCAGGGCGGCTCGAGGTTCTGGCACGGTGACGGTGACCGGGAGTGCCGGGCGGGGCGACACAAGGGAGAAAGCAGGTGGCCGCTGCGGCACTCTGGCCACGGCCCCTAAAAGAAATGAGACGGAACCGCATCTTCCACTCGCGGCAGCTCCTACACCTGTCTCCTCACTGAACATCCTCCTCCCAGGAGGCAGGAGGCAGGTGTGTAGGACAATTCCTGGAAAGGGGTGCCGACTGAAAATAACATCGTAACCCCTTCATTCCCACGCATCCAAAGCCAACTGAGCCGAGGCCAGGAGCACAGAGCACGCGCTTCGGAAGCGCCTGACATCGAGGGAGGTCACGGACCCCCGTGAAAGGGGACGGGAGACAGACATGTGGCCGAAGACAGAGCTCAGCTGTTACCGCTTTGCTGAGGATGAGCCCTATTTATCACCATCTAACCAAAGACAAATAGAGAGTAGCCTGAGCTATTTTTGTTGTGTAGGCTGCCATCGTTTGCATGATTTATGGAGGGATTTTGGCTTGAGGTTTTTTCTCTAATAGAGCTGTCTGTATAAAAGAGCCTCATCCTCCTAGAAATCATGAATCAAAATATCACTGTGGTGCTCTACTATCGAGCACGTCTCAGCGAACCGCGTTATGTGTGACTTCATCTCACACGTTCACCTCGGACCTCAGGCTCCTAGGTGAGCCGGGCTGGGTGACGACCTCCAGACAGAAGCATCTCCATCCCCCCAGCATCACTGCTTCTGATGTCGGAGCTCTGTTCCGCTCTCCCAGATGCCTCGGCCCTTCCTGAACACGGGGCGGACTCTACGGGTCACTCGGCTCCCTAAGCCCCCTCCCCGCTCATGCTGAGATGTGGCAGAAACGCTCAGGAAACCCCCTCCCCTGCTCTGATTCCTGGGGACACATTGGGACACAAAGGGCCTCCCGCCGAGCCTGTGCTAAACTTTGAGAGCTAACGACTGGGGCCATGAAGCCTTTGGGTATGGAGACTTAGTTCCCTCCCTCTTTCTCAGATGCCGGGGTTTGACTGGCACCTTCGGCTGGATGTGACCGCTGCCGAGAGGCTCATACTTCCAGTGACATTACAGCCTAGGTTTCTGCTCCCTGCCTCCAAGTGCCTCCTTCAGAGACCTTTTCCAGGGAGGGACATGGGGACCATGACATGCTGGAGCTCTAGTGAGTCAGAGACCTGCCCCAGGAGGTAGCCCACCCCTGAGGGGCCAGAAAAACTCACTTCCACTGAAAGCAGCAGCTTCAGTCTGGGTCGGGCGTGGTCCTCCAGCCACGGCCCGGGGTCAGCTGCGGCCCATTTGGCACAGGTTTAGCTGGAGCTCAGCCAGGCTCATTTGTTTACAAATCGTCTGCTCCAGTGAGTAGTTGTGACAGAGACCATATGGCTTACAAAACCGAAAATATCAACTATCTGACCGTTGCGTAGGATGATAAATATTTCGATCGCGAATATTTATTATTTAAGTTCATCCTTGCTCCGTCTTTCTTGAGGTAAGAAAAGTTAACCCTGACACTGACAAAATTAGCTCCTTTTTCTCATTCTCAAGAACCATATTCTCAGACCTACTATAAATACAATTGTCGAAATAGACTAAGAAAAAGGACTTAAGCGACACCCTTTTACCAAACCACACCCATCATTGAACTTACAGGTCTGTAGAACTCAACCACTTGACTAACTACAGCGTTTTCCTTCAGCTCTTTCTCTACTGTATTTACTTAGACCATTTTATTAACAAACCCCCTCTTGGCACACTATTAATTTTAAAGAGTGTGACCCTGGCCACATCCCACCTTTTTTCTAGAAGGTTACGTACTGACCTTGACAGCTGAGAGTGCTGCTCGCTCTCACTCCTCTTTCTCGGCGTGTGTCTTGGTTAAGGGCTTCCTGTTTGTCGTGGCCTCTTCACCGCGCCCCCCGCTCCGTGGCCGGCCCGCTCGTCGTCCCATCGATGGGACGGGGCAGTGGTGGCTGTCGGCGGGGGGCCTGACTTGTCCCAGACTCCTTTGGGCAGGAGCTGAAATGAAGCACGAGTATTTTACGAAGCAGCATGTTTTCAAAAGGATGAAGGCCAGCCAAGAAGTGTACTTGCTTCTGGAAGCATCTTGACCACGTTAGCTACTCACTCACTCCAAACGCAGAGCGCTCTCTCCTTTCTCCCTGAAGGTTTTACAATGTGAAAGGATGGGCTTCTCGTCCTATATTCTAACTCTAGATTGAAACTACACACAAAAAAGTTGAAGTTGGTAACTTGGCCTCTTCTTCCCCATTCGTTTCCGTGCCAATCAAAGCGCTCGATATTCACGAGTCTGTCAAGTGCAGGAAGCTGTCTTATCTCTGCCCAAATCTCAGCGTGCTTCGATCCAACTTTCTAGAGACTCTTTATGGTTTTTTGTTTTTCATCTCCCAGCCTCTGACACAGAAAGCGCACGAATTGCTGTTTCCTACGAGCTGTTCCCCCAAGTTCAGCGGCCCCTGAGTGTTAGAAGCGGCAGTTTTAAGCTGCCCCAGAGAACAGCAAAGTTGACTTCGTTTGTTCTTTTGATTCGCTGGGTAATGGAGGCTGCTGAGGTCGAGTCTGTGCAAACCGCGGACAGACCAGGAAGGAGGGACCATGTATGACGGAGGAGAAGGCGCTTCCTGGGGACGAACCCGTCCCGCGCATTCCGCACGGGTCCCAGAAGCGGGCCGGCCTCCTCCGCAGGCCGCTCGCGTGTCTGAAAGTGACAAAGAAGGACAGAGACGCCCTCCCACTGCCCGACCGTTTCCGGAGAGCTCGCTGCGAGACAGGGGTCACTTTTTCCAGAACCACGACGTGACCCGTGCCACTCCCTGCCACGCGTCGCCGTCCTCCAGGGAACACCCAGGCCTCGCACTGCCCCGCGGGGCTGCAGGCGACGGGTCGCCGCCGCCTTCCCGTCCCGTGTCTGGCAAGTTCGTTCACTTCCGCCCTCCGCTCCAGACTCGCCTGAGGTTTTACAGTCGGAGGAGCGGACTCTACAGCACAAGGCCTTGGCCTGTGGGGCTCCTGGACTTCTCGATCCCTTTGTCCCCATCGGCAGGTCTCAGCCCAGACGTCCCTCATCGGGTAGTCCCTCTGTGCCCCTCAAGACTGAGGTAGGTATTCCCCTCGTCAGCTCCCAGAGGACCCCAGATATATCTTCACTGAAATATTTGTCACGTCCTTTATAACGTCCCGTTCCTTTGATGCATTTCTTGTTATAGCCTAACAGACCCCTCGAGAGCTAAAGCCCCACCCGCAGGGCCCGGCACCGCGCCTGACGTGTGGGGGGAGTTCGGCTAGTATTTGTGGAAGACGGTGACTCAATGACTTCTGTTCGTGAGGTGTCACCACATGGGCTCCAGACACTGATTACAATCTGAGTCCGTCCTGTGCCCGATGTGTGGTTTTTCCTTTTCCTCGTCTCTCTGTTTCTCGAAAGAGGCCTCGACCCCAAAGGCATACTGATTTTGCAGGACAGAAAAAGTTGGGTAGAAAAACTTGTCGACTTTCTGTTTTATTTTAAAAAATCAACAACTATACGCAAGGCACAATTCAGGAGAGCACTATGGACGAAGAGGTAAATATAGGTTGAAATACGGGCATAGAGCCGAGGAGGGTCCGTCTAGTCTGAGGAGGAGAAATAATACAGAAAAGCTGAGCAGAAGAAGCCACGCCTGACCGAAGGCCAGATGCAGGAGGCAGGACGGGCGATGGGTCGACTCGTTCTCAAAACGACGCAACAGGCCCCAAAATGACCGCAAACATCAGCTGAAAAAGTCACAGTCTGCCGGGTGATTCACAGCACACGTGCGTCGGAGGCTGCTGTGATGGCGGATGCTGACCACGTCCAGGGGGTCGGGGCCTGAGATTTGCTTAGCCTACTCCCTGACTCACAAAACTCAGATTTATGTAGGTACTTCTCCCAAATTACTCGTTTGTAAGCACCGCCTACTTCAGCATCCGCCGGCAAACGCACACACACCCCGTCATCGTCACCATCATCATCCCCATTGTCACTCATATGCCAGAATAAAATCAGTGCTGTTATTAAGGAAGGAAGAATGGAGATGGCGTTTATGGTTTCTCTGTAGGGCCTCCCGCATCTGGTTTCTTCAGCTTCTTCTTGGGGTCTCCTGCGGACTTGCAATAGAAAGAACTCGACAGTTAGCTTTGCGTCCCCTCCCGCAGGCTCACGGGCCTCGGACGTCTCGGTCCCTGGAAAGCAACACTGTTCTCCCCGGTGCGAAGCTACCTGAGGTTACTCGGCACATGAGGGGACTGTCGAAAGCCCACGTGATCAGTAATGAATCCCACAGCAAACAACAAAACCTCCAGAGAGCAGGTGTCCTGATGTGCCGACCGGGAGACAAATGGAGGTGAAGACAAGGAAAATTAGGGGGCGGGCACAGGGAAGATCCCCTGCCCCTCCGAGACGGACGGAAGCCCTCCGTCCAGCGTTTGTTAGCGACTCCAGTTCAGGGCCTTTTCGACAGTTTAGGAGCAAAACCTCTTTAACACTGCCATTTGTGGACAGAATCGGGAAACGCAGCAGACACCATCACGTCACCGGAGGGCGCGTCTCCCCAGCCTCCTCCTGCCTCTTCCCCCCTGAGGTCGCCAGGGCACCAACTCGCTGTTCTCACAAACGGGGCGTGAAGAAGAAAGCACGCGTTTATCCTGTCTTTCCTGTACCACTGGCATTTCAAGGTGACCTAAGTTTCTCTTTATGGAAAACTTCAGCGAAGTGGTCAAACCAGTAATAGGTACTTTTTTTTAAATCGCTATTTTGCAACTCCTGTTACAAATCATAGATTGAGACAATCGTGAGTAGATGCTAAAGGCAGCAGGTGAAAGCTATTGGGGAAGTAAATAACGAAAGAGACGGGCGACTGACAGTACCAGAATCCTCTGGTCAACCTGGACCGCTCCAGACGGCCCCGCAGACAGCCGGCGATGCGGGCGGATGAGAGCAGCACCTCCAGGACGTTCTCTCGCCGCGTGGCTGGACCTGCTCCCCGCCCGGCCTCTGGAAGGACGCGGCAGCCCGTGCGGAATTCAGGGGACACGGGAACCAGTTCAACGGAGGGAGGCATCTCGCCCTGCCAGGTACCACAGTGGATTCTAAACTACCATGTAAAGTGCTCATCTTGTAAGAGTCGAGAGTTCAGAAGCAGACAGCGAGCCTTACAGACTTTCGGGGGCAGAGATCTGCACAGGGCTGCATGAAGAAAACGCTCAGTACTTCGCCCCCAAGCGGCCCCTGGTGTCCAGGACACGGTGGCTGGATGCGGCTCGGGCCACCTCCGGGGAACCAAGGTCGGGCCTTGTTGCACCCACGCTCTCCTCACCGCTTCTGAATTCCAGCGACGTGTAAAGCAAAAGCCGTCCTCACAGATACACAGCCGGACGGGCTGGTCCTCCGGACAACGCAAGGGGCCCCATGGCATCGGAGTTCCGCCTTCCCGCAAAGTGAGTCGGTGAAATGGGTAACCGGGTCTGTGGGGGAAGCTCAGCTGCCCAAGAAGAGACACACACACACACACACACACACACACACACACTCACTAAGTACTTATGTATTAAGATATATAGAGACACATATAAAAGTAACATCTATTAAGATACATACATGATACATTTGTGCGTGTGAGTGTGTATTAAATACCAAAGCGAGGGAAATCATGATAGTTTCTCCTCTATAAAAACTAAAAACTCCGGCATGGCAAACATTATACACTAACAAAGCAACAAAAAGGCAGAAGAATCAGGACAGGAATATAGGAAAGTTATGAGACAGAAGCATCATGTTTTCTAAATGTAAAGTGTTTAAATATAAAAAACAAACAAACAAACAAACAAACCACAAATATCTCCATAGAAAAACAAGCAATGGACGTGAAACATCAGTTCACCCAAGAAGAGCTGAGCAATGCCCATGAAACACCAGACGTGCTGCGTCCTGTGATCCAGCGAGGCGCCCCGAGATATTTGCCCTAAGGCAAAACAAGTTCAGCAAATTCAGCAAAGACGTGTGTTTAAAAATGTGTTTATTACGGCTGTATTTTTATTAATAAAAATTGGATGCCATCTTTATTCCTGTCTCTAGGGCACGAGTTAAATTAATTGTGGCAAAATCCACGGGATGAATTATTCTGCTGCTCTTCAGTGGTTGTGCAGATCTATATTTAGATTTTTCCAACTCTCATCTTTCCGTAAAAATAAGACCACGAATGAGCCTTCTGGAAAGCGCTATCTGGGGCAGGAGCCCACGTCCGACTTCTCACGTGGCTGTGACGATGCCGGGGCCCAGCCGGCTGCCGAGGACGCCCCTGTCCCCTGTCCTCTTCCTCCTCCCTGTTCGTAACCTTCCCTCGCCTGCTGCTCTCAAGGTTTCAAGGACATAAATACTTGCAGAAAAGACTTCAGGGCCCCTGAGGTCCGGCGCCGAGCCGGAGGAAGCAAGAAGAGCCTCTGTGGGAATGTGCTCGAGCTGACCCCGGGAAGTGGGGACAGCCACACTCAGCGGAGGGACAGACGTCTTCTATCTCTTCCCGCAGCCGTCCGCCGACAGCACACGCCTTTCCCCTCCATGTGGCCTGTGACTCTGTTAACGTTCCCTCTGCCTCTGGTTAGGGAGTGACACAGTGAGCATTACCCCTCAGCGAAAGAAAGTGGGCTTCCCGGAGACTCAAGCTCATCTTGGGCTAGCTGCGGGGTGTTCGGTCCCAGCACCTTGATGGCTGAGCCAGGTGGAGCCCCCAGGCCGGCAGACCCCACCCCCATATTCCCTGGGGCCAAGCGCACCCGCCCTCGGCAGGGCAGGCCCCGACCTTCGGAGACCTGATGCTCTGAAAAGCTTATTAGCCTCTCGAAGTCTCAATGCGGCTGCATTCCACATGGCTTGAA